TAATACACCAGAAAAACTCTACAGGGACTGAGTGGCTGCGTTTTAAGTTATTTGACATAGACCTTTTTGAGATTACATTTAGCAATTCTATTTATACTCAAAACATTTCACATTTCTGTTTATTTTTGAGACAAATGCGAGATGGAGGGATAATGGCAATGATCCAATTTTTGTGCTGCACATTTAAATATGTTAGATTGAGGTCTGAGTTTTTGAAACCTGGGAGAGACTAATACATGTTATTATATTACGGCAGCACTGACTCAATTTTATTCCTAAGAATAAATCACCAAACATTCAATGACCCAAAAGAAGAGCAATATATTTTTGTGCCTAAGAAGCCTCTGGGCTTTACAGTGATTACCAGTTTTTTGACGGTAACACACTTACAGATGTTATGCACACTCACCATGGTTGCACTGCATAAATGAAGCGATACATGCATCACAGTACAATTGCTCAAGGATTACAGTGGGTCAAGTATATTACAAAACACACACAAAAATGTATGCTACTTTCCCCACTGTCCATGGTAGGATTTCTATGATATTTTATTTTCAGAGTTTCAATCAGTACGCATATTAATGTCTGAGCTGGTTGTGAGGAGTGTATGCAACAAAGGGCGTACTCTTTGCTGACGTATGTGTTGTAACTTGCAATATCAAAGATCTACTAATGATTTAATGATGTGCTTTAATGCTTTATTGCAAAGACTTGTCACGCAAAATCCCCATCCTTCATTCTTCCTTAAAAGAGATAGAAGTTTAAAGATGCATTGCAATAGCTCTTGAGTTTTTACAGAAATTCCTATTCACCATCAGCTTGTATTTGTTGCTCATCAACAAAGTAAACCTAAAACTGGATTTATTCTTCCAGGAAGTGATTGTTGATGGAGTTAAATTTACTTAACAACTGCCAGTTGCCAGTCATAGTGCAATATAAACGTAGATTTGTGCAAACAATCTTCTAGGATTTCATGGAAATTGCAGAAAACAGCTTGTTTACATTACTCATCAATAATATAAACTTCCAACTGAGTAAATCCTTCTGAAAGGTTTGTTGACACCGCAGGACTTGCTCCACAGCTGTTGACTGTTTAGTGAGCCGTGTGGGGATAAATACTGCACTTTATAAACATAAAGAAATCTGTGTCATTCACTACACATGTTGGTGTTTTACACAATTCATCCATGAATATCAACACAGACGGAAGTATGTGCTCATACAGTCATTGTTGCAGCTTGACTGAGGGTGGTGTTAGGAGCACAGGGCAATGGGAAAATGTTAAAGCTGAGTCATGAAGAACCCAAAGCTGTTACACAATGCCACCTGGTGGCTTGTATACTTTATAAAGGAACAGTGAATTATCTCACAATACAGACTTGACTACATAATAGCACAGTATACAGTAAGAATCTAAAGATATGAGGCCTGTGGTTTAATCATTAATTCCTTAGCAGCATGATCATTTAAATTAAATCTAATTTAAATGCCTGATGAAGCTCTGTGATTAAATATGTCTGCTTCTTTAATACATTTTCATCCAATCCACCATCTTTTATTTAGATTAGACACCTGTCTTACGTATGTAATGGATTATATGTGTTTTTTTTATTTTTTTATTTTAAATATTACAATGTGACTGTTATTATAAGCTGTTATTTGGGATATACAGCTTGAAGCTTTATGCAATACATAGCATCATATAAGCATATTTGATTTATTTTTCCATCCAGTCTTGGAAGTGTGCACAAAGACAGTGAATACCCCAATAGGGAAAAGTGTTCTTAACAACGGTATTTCACACAGTGTGACTAAGTCTACACCTCTTTGTATGTGCAAGGATGCAGGGTTAAATAATGTTTTATTCATGTTCTGACACCATCCACTACAAATGGACAAGTTTAAAAGATTTGCAGTTCACTGAGTGCGATATCATCCGGTGACGTATCATTACAATCAATACAAAATGCAGCTGATGCCATTTTGCTGCCCATTTGCCCTGAAATATCATTGATAATTATGAGGAAGTTATTAGTATTACAAAAGATTTCCTGCCCCTCAGTCTCGCTAATGGCACATCAGCTGAGTGGGCAGTTGCTGGACAATCACAGCACCAGTGTAGGTGTGGGCCAGTGTTAATCAGCCACATCCTTTTCACACTGTAACAATGGATTGTGACCCTTCGTCACCCATCTCTCCATAATCTACGTCAGAGGATAACTTGTTGACCTGACAATTTCAGTCATTAGGCGAAGGCCCACGTCTTCCTGACTACATTGTTCTGTAAAAGTAGGCTTCAAATGGGCTATGGTAATCATAAATTAGCTGCAGGAAAAAGAGGGATGAGCGACAGATACTAACGGCTGCTCTTATTCTACGCTACTTATACATGCAAATACAACCAGCTCTGCACAGGGAAACACAAACAGTTAAAGGGTACCACCACAACTGCTACTTATAAGAAGAAAAGGAAGAAGAGGAAGCAGCAGTTCAACTTGGATATTAAAACTCTAACTTTATCTGGTCCAAGTTAGGGTCCTTATTATGTTCGAACTCAGGTTAGATGTTAACAGATGTGGCCTGTAGAGGGATGTGCTTCTGAACTGTCTGAGCACAGTGACTCATTTGTTTGCAGAGTCCTCCAAAACGGAGAGCCCACGCTGCCCTTCCTACGCCTCACGGGGGATTCTGTTTTCCAAAGACAGAAGTGTTTACTTGCTACGACAAGGTTACAAAAATATGATCCCAATGACAAATTAAATGGGACCAGTATATAAACAACAATAGCCGTGACTCTTTGCTTTAGTTTAACTGAAGAGTTTGACACCCACCACTTGCAACCCATGAGTCAGTATGGGTGATAGTTATATATTCTGTCTGGTCTACATCGCAGGATAAAGATGTGTTTATGCAAGAACGTATAGATTCAACAGTACCACATGCAATGTGTCCGCATGTATACATTGGTATGGTTGTTTTTACATGTGAATTAAATGTGTGAGTATGAGGTTTTTAGTCAAACAAAACAAAACCAAAGTGAACCGCCATTACAAGAAATGTAATCATTTGACACAGCAAAAACACAGAAACTTTGTGTTATGCTGCAGGAAGGATGCCGACCTACCGTCCTCGATCTGTTGAGCCAGGAAGAAGTTTATTGCGAGCATCCTGTGCGTAAACATCTGACAGACGTGCTAGATCCCCAGCAGCAGCTGGTGTAGGACTCACCTTGAGCTAGAAGTAAACTTTAAGCTTTGTCCACAGCTTTGTCCACAATATAACACTGTGGGACTATCTAAAAGGCAGGAGGTGCACAACAGACATTAAAGTAAAACTGGTTATTGCTCGAGTTTTAGAGAGCAGAATTATCTTACCACCATTACCCAGGGACGCTGGAAGTCAATCAGAGTTACTAATACTTATAATGGTGACGTACTGAATGCTAAATGCACGACATTCATAGTTTTTTACTTAATTTGAATGGCCATGATAATTTATAGCCTATTTAATAGTTATTTTACACATTTTAGTTTTACTTTTTAGTGGGAAAACTGATACAAAATCAAGGCAAAACCTCTTTTGGTATGTACACTGTAAATCCCAGTAAAAATTGAGAAGTTCATTATAAGTTTAAACACTTAAACTAACTGATTTTAGGGGGTGTTGCAGCCCCCTCAGTACCCCTACCTTCAGCACCCTTGCGATTACCCCTACCTGCCCAAATGGTGAATCTATTTACATGTTATTATATGATTAAATATCAGGGTTGTTTCTAAGTAATCCAGAATGAGAAGGAAGGGAGGGAGGAGGAGGAAAAGATGAAGTGGATCTCAGTGGTGTAAATAGAGCAGCAATAGTTTTAAAGGGTATGTTTGCCCTCTACTGGCCTGTGCACTAAAATGAAACAATACATTTCCAATTTATTTCTGTAAAGGATTTCTGTACATAATTGTTTTGAAGTGTGTCAAAGTCATTATTTATATGTCCGAGCCTTACCTTAAAAGAATAGTACTGATTTTTTTTTTACATTTTTAATGTGAAGTGTTATAAGTAGGCCTTTACTCTTAAGTGATATTCATAGATGTAAATTAGCTTGGGCTAGAAATAGTAGAAATAATTCAACAATTTCTCAAGCAGAAATGGTCAGCAGCAGCAAAGGGCATCAGTCAACAATTTAAAAAAAATGATTTGTTGCCCCCAGCAGATAATATATTTCCCATGTGTGATCCTCTTCTCAGACCTGTGTATATTAGATCAAGTCAACAAACCAATAGTTCATTCAGTATGTGAATAACTAATAGCATACTGAATACTTAGACCAACCACTGCATGCTAAGCTAATACATCTGTTGACTTTTAAATAAAATAGAAACAATATGCTGCTGTTACAAAAAGAGAAAACCTTAGGCCAAGGTGGCTGATGATGGAAATTTAAGGGCGCATTAGTCTGAGATCTAATATTTTGATCTAGCCTATGTCAGGTGTGGAAAAAGTCAACTAACTTAAGTAACATAAATTGTAATTCCAAAGAGAAAAATCCATCCATGAAGAAAATAACTATTTAAAAAAAAAAGAAGAAAATCTTGGTGAGATTGTACTCATCCTTGATACAACTGAAAACTTCACTAAGTTAGTTGCATTTAAAAGCATTGTGATCATAAGTTCTTACAAGAGTATATATCCACAAAATATGTTAATGGTGTCAACATAGATGCCCTAGCTGCCATAAACAGTATTGAGGAGAACAGGAAATCAGCTGGGATGTTCTAGGAATGTTCTAGTAAAATCATTGTGTAAGGTAATAACACGCTCACCGCCATGTCACTGATATATGTCGGTGATTTGATTTATAAATGTGTGCTTGTGTTATATTTTCATACGGCAGATTTACCGTGTATAAATTATTACCGTTAGTCAGATCAGCGGTTGCTTTGAACGGCGTCACGACTACCACGGTCACCTGGACCTGTGATTGGCTGAGAGCTCTGATCCGGGTACTGCGCTACAACGAGCCCATTAGCTAAAGGTACCAATATGGCGGAGGTAAGAGGGAAAACAGGGGAGAAGCAATCGATCTTAAATCGATATTTTTAAATCTTCTGTGTTGTATTTTTCATTTTTATGTTATCGATTGAAGAAACGATGGGTTTTGCCTTCTGTATAGCGTGTCTCGTGTCATAATTGTCATTTTAATTCCTCTATAATATGCTTGAATGTCTGGACTGATCCTTCACTACAAGGCCGCTGCGCCTTCGCTCTCTCAGCTGCTTTGGTGTAGCGGCTGTGTAAATTGATACGTAAATTTAACGTTAGCTTGCTGGTTAAACGAAATAACAGATTATATCGTGTTTGTTATGAATGTAATTTTCTTTTTCTGTTTCGGCTAAATTAGCGGCGGCTACATTGTAAGGGCCATCCAACTCTGTCGATTGCAGAACCGCGCAAACGAAATTAGTGTTTACATTTTTCGATGCATAACGTTAACATAGGCTTTAGGGTTAGCTCGCCAGCTAGCTTTTACAGAAGCCGACACTGCGTAAATTAAACTGTCCCCCTCAATATAGTCCTCTATTTTACTTTTAACGTCTCTTACGAAAGGAACAATTTAAATTCCGGCGTTTTAAAACTATATTTTGCTCACAATTGTGCAGCGATCAACCGCGGCTAACGTTGTATTAGCCACCTATTTCAGGTAACGTTAGCGGCAAATGCAGCTTTCCTACCTAACTGGTTTCTGTGGTCATGATACAGACTATTGATTGCATGTTTTTTCTTTGGTTGATTGAATATAACGCTAGAATAATAGTTGAGCCCAAGTTTCAACTATTGCACTTATTTATGCTCTGGTTTTTTATTTTATTTTGCAGGCTTCCCTAGGGAGTTCAAGTCCAGGTGAGGAAACCTTTGCCATACATTGATTATTAGTATCTGCTGCTCATGATGTACTTATTTCGATTCAGCTATATTTTGATTGAACAGACGTATGAAGATAAAGTTATATACTTTGTCAGAGAAAATGGCTTTGAAATTGACAAAATGTAGCGTTTTTCTAATTGCAATATAGAAACTATGTGGATAATAATAGTATGAATCTTTAATTTTCAGAGAAAACCCTGATTTCTGTGATAAGACTGACGCATTTATGATTATTCTTTCCTTCTTTCTCTCTCACTCAGTTGGCTCTTTATCGTCAGAAGACCATGACTTTGACCCAACGGCAGAAATGTTAGTTCATGAGTATGATGACGAGAGGACTCTGGAGGAGGAAGAGTCTCTGGAAGGAGGGGGGAATTTCCGCTCGGAGATTGCAGATCTGGAAAAGGTAAACAAATAAATAAATGCACAAAATCTCCTCAAACGGCACTTACCTGTGTTAAATGTAATGAGTTATTTGATTTTTAAACGGTGAAATCTGCATTAGAGCATATTGAAGATTTGCATGTATTGTTAATATGGATACTAGAGGGAAACGTCTTCTGAGTGCAGTGGGGCTACAAACAGAAACACTGTGTTGTCTATGGAAAAAAAGCTTGGTATAGTAACACTGATACATTCTAGTGTAACCTGTATGATGGGGAGGCCAGCTGATTCAAAAGAAAGGTCCATTAATAAATGTCAACTAAGTTTAATTAAGTTTACTTCATTTCTTAATTTCATTCATAAATTGTCTCTTGGTGACAGTAAATTGGAGTGTAAGTTCACTGATTGGCTTTAACCTGTCTGTGTGGAGTTCACATTTTGAAAAATAATCAGCTGTTTGCTAAAAGAAAACCCAACCACAGCTATAAACATACAGATCTGCAGATAATTGGAATGCACATAGGCTTTTAAGTCTTTTTATTGTAATTTGGATAATGCATAATAGTTTTACTTAATTTATTATTTGCTAAGTTTGCTTATTTACTTATTTTCTTTTTTTCTACCAGGAGGGGAACATGCCTTTGGAGGAACTATTGGCCATCTATCGCTACGAGGCCTCGGCAGGCTCCAGTATAGACAGCTCATCTGGAGACCTGACTGATGAGCTACCTGACATGACTTTGGACAAGGTAAATAATTATATTATGATATTGTAAATAAATAGATTTGGGAAAAATAACCAGAAGTGAACTTTATCCTCAGTATGTATGTATTCAGATATTCTGTTGATCACCCTTCGTCTGCTCTAACATACAATGGATATTGGTTTTTTTTTTCCCTAGGAGGAAATAGCTAAAGACCTGCTGTCTGGGGACTATGAAGAGGAGACCCAGTCCTCAGCTGATGACCTAACCCCTTCAGTCACATCCCACGAGGCAACCGATTTCTTCCCAAGGACACTTCGATGTAAGTGACAGGTTACAGGCTAAAAAATGACTTTGACGTTTTTATTAGCTTTGCAGGATTAAAGCTTGTCATGTAATGCAGTACAATGTAATTATTTTCCCTTACAGCTGAGCACGAAGTACGAAAAGCTATGTTAAATATGCAATATCGCAACTTACAAGATGCAGAATTCAATGAAAGGTTTTAAATAAATTGTTTTGTTTGACCAACAGTCTAAAACCCAAATACTAAATTAACTATATCAAATAAAAAAACAGCAAATAATCTCATTTAAGAAGATAAAACCAAAGAATGCTAAACAACTCCTATGATTTATCGATGTAGTAAGTGTGTTGGAGATTCAATTACTTATTATAGTACTTAAGTAACATTAGGTTTGGGAGGTAAAGCATCAGGTCTTAATATCCAAGAGGTGCCATTTGATTTAAGTGCATGTCAGGTTATTTATTTGTTGTTTTTTACTTTATCAGCCAACGCTATATCTGATGGTGATAAAGAGTCGGAGTGTGATGAAGATGGCCCAAGCCCAGAAGACTCCAGAAAGGTAAATGACATATTTATTTTGGAACACATTACGAGAGAGATAAAGAAAGTTAACTTGATGTTTTAAGTTGAATCAACACCAGTTTGCTAAACATGTATTGACTTTTCTTTTTTTCTTTCTTAGGAAATAATGGTGGGAACACAGTACCAAGCAGAGGTTCCTTCTTGCCTCTGTCACTACAAAGACGGAGAGAAAGGTGACTGTTCCTTTTGTTTTTCAGCACGGGTGCCTGACATGTTCTTTAATGCTTCTATCCAAACAATAAAGACAAGATCATATGCACAAGGCGACTAATCTTATTCTAATGTACTTTGTTGTGCAGCTTATGAAGATGAAGATGAGTTATTATGGAGCCCAGGCAAATTGCCAGAAAACAAGGTTAGGAGTTTCCTGTCTGAAGTGTTGTCACGGACAACAGATGAAAAGATGGGATGTGACAAACCAGGGATGCATGTTCGAGACAACGAGCAGGTCAGTCGTGTCTTTATTTTTTAATAACACATTGATGAACACGGTATTGGCAATGAATGTGACCTTATGCGGTCTACTTTATTTTTCATTGACATTAATTCACCACATTCTACAATAATTATGTTTTGAATTCTTCAGATTATTTGTTTTCTTATGCACAACCTTTTGGCCAGTATTCCAAGTTTAACCACTCCACTCTTTCCCCACAGGCTTTGTGTGAGCTTGTCAAGTGCAACTACAACACTCGCGAAGCGCTAGAGAGATACTGCAGCCGTGTTAGGTCCTCTAAAGGTAAGCATGAGAAACATTATGGGCTGCCAGCTGTCTCAAAATGAATTCTTAAATCTCGCAGTTGTCAAACTTTGTGTTCAAATTGCCCAATGAGATCTGATGTTATCGTAGATGTGTTGTGCCGACCTGTAATCTCCTCTATAATCACAGAGCAAAGCATTTTCAATACAAGTGAAATACATGTAGAAAATAATACAAAAATTTAGAAAGGATGTTAAATATGACACCAGTCTCATTTAGTAATACAACTCTTATGATTTTGTAATTTTGGATTATTTCTATTATCATTTGGATCACATTTATTGATGACGACGTGACTGCAGTCTAAAGGTTTTACATCAGTATGCATATTCTGCACAGTTGGAAGCCAGAGTAGTCCCTCTTTTAACAATCTCACAGTACCTTGTGATAAAGTCTGAGCACATTCTCCATCATTACTCATTATTTCACACATTTCACTTTGATGTGGTGTGAGGTTCCTCTGTCCTGCCCCTGATAACAAATGACTTATAACCACCGAACTCTTGGTAAATCACTTTCCCCCACCAAATTTTATATCATGCAAATGTGCACTTGTTTTAGTATAAAACGGAAGCAAACTAACTTATTAGTATGCGATGAGCTGCACTGGTGCTCAGAGGGAATTTTATATGGTAATTAAAATCCATTCTATACAAAAAGTATAGACAAACTCATATTATGGTGTTTATTTGTCAAGCTAATTTACCCAGGGAGGAACAAAAGTGCAGGAACCACCTTTTATACAATGCAACAAAAAAACCAATGTATTTCTTGTTTCATTGCAGAAAAAACGCCTCCGTGGTCGGAGGAGGACATGCCAACAAACTTTTGAGACACCGCACCTAACACGATGTTTGACCAAGAATTTTCCACCTCATACAGAAGCATAAAGTGAGTCTAACAGACGTGATTTGCTGAGATATTCCCCCTTCTACACAAGCATAAAAAGATGGACATATAAAGCTGTGAAAGTTTCTCATCCCTTTTTTAATGACTTTCTTTCACCTCCCTCAGGTCACAGCACCGACAGGTGCAGAATGTGTGGCGTTTTACCACATGTGGAAAAAGTCGGAGCGCTTTGATTTCTTCGTGCAGCGCAATCGGTTTGGCAAGAAAAAGCACAGCAGCCATCCCCTGTAACTGACCTGACGGACAGGCCGGTGGACCGAGCGGAGGGACTGGCGGTGGACAGTCCTCCTCTGTGTGTTTTAAGGAGCAGGTGGAGGAGGAAGGCTGGAGACCACCACAGACCAACGGCTCAGCACGCTCAACTCCCCATCACTGCCAGCCAACTCACAGCGTTGAGTAACAGTGGTAGCCACAGTGTATGTACATGTGTACATGCACATATATGGTGTGTGTAATACACACACATATATTATAATATAATATATATAATCATTATATAGACCTGTCACAAGCGCACTGGAAACGGCCCTGGAACCGTGCTCCCACGTCCCCTCTGGAAAGCACGCGCCAGGTCTGACACTTGGAAATTTTTCCAAACAATGTCAAAAAACAAGCATGTCCCAGTACGCTCAGAATGGCCTGAACGTGCTCCACACACTTTCCCAACAGCACATACTTGGCTTGTGGCAACTTTGAAAATTTTTCCCCACAGCAGCGCTCCATTAACAGTGAATGGAAAGCTTCCGGAGCCCATAACTCCCCAACCCAGACCTTCGGAGGCATTGGAACGGCCTCCGCCCCACACAATTCCGCCGCGCTGAACACGCTGGACGTGTCCCGAGTCTCTACGTACGACCTTCCCTCGCCGAGATACAAGGATTTGAATGCGCATTTCCGGAATTACGCCCACTTCTGGTTATCACAGGAAGTTCATAGTGGCGCACAAAGAAGCAGAAGGAAAAAATTAACAGATTGAACTTGGTTTGAAGTCTCTATGACCTTCCTGTGAGGAGAAATATGCTCATTAGACCAATGTCTGAAGTTGCACTTGTCCCTAACCCTAACCCTAACCCTAAATATGCTCATTAGACCAATGTCTAAAGTTGCACTTATCCCTATTCCCCTTCCCTCTTGAGCAGTGTCCCTTTATGTCTGGGACACCAAAGCAATTGCAAGCTACCAGTTTAGGCCAGTGTATTTATTGTACTTGGGTAAATAAGAGTTTATCCACTGTGAACTTTGTCCCCCCGTACAAACAATCAGGAATTTACAAATATGAATGTAAAAACAACAAGAACTTGCCATTATATACAGATGCCACTAGACAACAACTTACAACCGCCTTGGCAACTAAACAAACCTTTAAAATTTAAACAAAAACGTGCATAAATGTGGGCGGGGCTTCCAAAACAAACACACAGACAATTTGGCACCATGACAAGGTAGGAACTGAATATACAGACGCCATTTTGTGACCTGTTTTTCAACAACAAAAAAAAAACATCCCGCACCATGTCCTCAGAGCTCTTGTAAGTACATTTTTATTTACCATTTTAAACCTAACAAACAACGTAAGAAAAACAAGATAACAACTTTAACTTTCCCGGGGAACCATAAAAACAATCAGGAAATTACAAATATAATGGTAAAAACAACAAGAACTTATAAAGAACTACAGAGCTGAAACATAACAAGAAGTCATGATATACAGACGCCATTTTGTGACCTGTTTTTCAACAACAACAAAAAACCACCCCCCACCATGTCCTCAGAAAACAAATTTCAAAGCAAAATTTCAATCCTCCCTCTGACCTATTTTACAATAAACACAAACCCTATACTGTTTTAAAACCCTTATACTTACATTTTTACTACACATTTAACATAAATAATAAACACTAGACAACAACTTACAACCTCCTGGGCAACTAAACAAACCTTTAAAACTTAAAACAAAAACGTGCATAAATGTGGGCGGGGCTTGCACAACAAACCCACAGACAATTTGGCACCATGACAAGGTAGGATCACCAATTTATAGACCTCAGACAAGCCAGCCCTAGCAAAAATACTATCAATCGGATTGAAGATTTCCTTCTGGTAAGCATTAAACTCCTTTTTTCACTTATATTGTTATTATTTATTTTTGAATTTGTATTTTATTCTTCTTTTGTTTTTGAAATTGTATTTTATTCTTCTGTTATTTTAGAAATTTTATTTTATTCTTCTGTTATTTTGAAATTGTATTTTATTCTTCTGTTATTTTTGATTTCACTACTCTCTGGACTGAAGTTTTTTCTTTCTTTAATTTTGTGTGTGTGTTGTGTTTTCACAGATAAGACAGGACTCAGTAATTGGTTGTGAAAGATGTAAGTAAGAACATGCATGAGCTTGTGACTAGAAACTTGACCTGATTACAATTGGGAAAAGGTAGTGCATATACTCATATCTGATGAATGTATTCTCTCTCTCCTCTGTTTTGGAAGGGCTGACAGACGAGTTGTTTATTGCCTCCGGTGCCAAAGGGGTTATGATGTACTGTCCGTCCACCTGAGGAATGTGTGCATGAAGGACAACACGGCAGAGGAACGGGATGCTGAATTAAAGCTGGCCAAAAAGTCACAAAGGGAGTGGACCAGGGTTGGTAGACGCTGGGAATACCAGGAACTGTCCTCCATGGTTCCAGACGAAGCATCTCGCCGGTCACTGGTTGACCACCTAAAAGAAAAGGGATTCTTTGTTGTCGGTGAACCAGTGGAGGGCCTGCAGGGTGCAGAGCCGAGGTTAGTTATTTGATTAACATTTAAGGTGACTCTTTTTTTTATGTCTCAAATTTACATTGCCTTTACTAATCTATGATGCATGTTAGGTCTGAGCACCAACGTTTGCTGGAGATGGCGAAGGGTTGGATGGAGGAGGCTTGCCACAGGATCCAAAAGGGCGAGAGCTTAACACACCAATATATGACGATTTACCGGTACTTCTGCATGGCCACCCTGATGGTTACTCACCGTAAACCGGAGAAGATGGTGGTGGATTTTAAAGTAAGCATGCACATATTCCAATGTTCCCATCAGCCGTTTTCTGTTTCCATGAAACTTTGACTCTCGTACACTTCGAGTCGTTTGTATCCTTGTCTAAAAAATCCCGTCCCCCATCACAGGTGACTGAGTGGAACAACAGGCAGGTGAGCGCCAGTGTCGGGGTGACCATCCAAATCGGCATGGACCAAGCTCTTATCAGCATGGACGAGGATAGGGTGAGTAGAGCGTTTTTTTTGGTTTTTTTTACATTCAAATGAAGAAACTGTTTCCACAGATGGGATTTCACAGCTTGGTATTTTGTTTCCCATCAACAGTGGCTTGGTGCCTACTTCACAGCCATCAGGCCGCTCTACCTGAAGAGGCAAGAGGAAGCAGAAGATGACCAGGGCTGCTTCTTCCTGGGGACAACAGGACTTCCCGTGGTGAATCCCAGATCCGATTTGAACCGTCTCTGGAGGCAGTGAGTGTACTTTTTTATTTCTTAGGCAATTTCACTCATTAAGCGACCAGAACTAGCAGGTTGCTTATGTTACTGGTAATTATTAGTGCTAGTATTGTTAGTTGGTTTGTTCTTCCACTGAACACAAGCCCTGACTTTAAATTTTCTGTCTTTGTTTTTATTTTCCCCCTCTCCTCCACAACACAGCTGTAAGAAGATATGCGAGGGAGCGGGCATGAATCCACCATCTGGTACGGACGAGGCCGCGGGGCCATCCTCCCGGGACCAAAGGTAAACATTGTCAATTTCGGTGCTGACGTCAACACGTCTGACATCACAACCAACTGATTGCAATGTGTGCTTTTCTCTTCCTGCAGTTCTGCAGAATTGAAAAGGCCATTTGACGACCAATGGGACGCTTTCCTCAGAGAATTCCCCATAACCATAGGTGACCTTGCGCCCTCCAAAGAGGACATTGTCTGTGCTGGATTTGGAAATCAACGGACGTACTATTTCAAGTGGAGGCGTCTGCAGTTGGAAAAGCGTGTGCTACATGTCTCAGGTAGGCACCGGCTTTGTCTTTGTCAAAGAGATACTGTATGCTGTCTGTGAAAAGCTGCTTAGTGTCTCACTGCCTCACTTACTCACTCCCTCTTTTCTTCTCAGTTTCCTCTGGCAGGCATCAACCAACAGCAGAAAAACTCAAAGTGATTGTGGCCAAGGAGAAGTGGGAAACCAATGTCCCCTCTCTACAGGATGTACTTCAATTGTGGGTCTCCTCTTTAAAGGCAGACATTGAAGATGACGAAGATGTCCTGAAGTCAGTGGTGGAGCAAAGGTGGAAGGGGATCGATTTTAAGGATTTCGGAGAACCCAAGGGTAAAGGTGAGGAAAGACAGAAAAGCACAGTGCAAACTTTCCTCTAATCACTTTGCCATGGCAGCAAAATAACAGGTGTTTGTGTTTTTCTTTCGCTCTTCTCTGCAGGCGTCATTGCCACCATGCCATTCTCCAAAGGTGATGTGGTCTGTGATTACCACGGAAAGATAATCTCAGAATCGGAGGGGAAGAAGAAGATGGATGAGATGCAGGAGGGAACGATGAGCTACCTCTTTTTCTTCAAGGGCAGGAGCGGCACCAAGCTCTGCATGGATTCTCAGACCTTCCCCTGCGAGTGTCATCCTGGCAAGGACACCTTTGGAAGGCGGATGAACCATTCCGGCAAAGCTTTCAATGTTAAGCCTGTGGTCTGCCACTTAAAATTTCCGGATGGACCCAAAGACACTGTCCTGTTCTTGGCCACAAAAGACATAGCCGTGAACGAAGAGCTGCGTTGGGACTATGGGGTGAGAAGGAGGTCCTTCAAAGGTGAAGGCTTAGACCTGGAATGGCTGGATGATTAAAAAGACTTTTGGTCTGGGATGCTGTCTGAGAGCCTTTTGTTGTTATTGTAAAGTTGGTTAGTAGTAGTAGTAGATTGTAAGATAAGTTGTTCACTGTTCATAGTTTAAAAAAAAAACAAAAAAAAACCCTCCACATGGACTCTGCCTTGACGTGGCGTGGAGGCTTGCGTGCCTCTGTGGTCCTGGGAACTGTCTTGGTTGGCTCCATTCAGCAGAGCTTACTCCTGTGTGGTAAAGCAGGAGTAAACACTGCTGAATGGAGCCAACCAAGACAGTACCTAAGATCACAGAGGACAGACCAAAGAGTCCACAACTCACCTGATACCCAAGCATGTCTAAACATAATATATGTGTGTATGTGTATATATATACACACACATATATATATATAGACCTGTCCCAGAGCACTGGAAACGGCCTGAAACGTGCTCCCACGCGCTTTCCCAACAGCACATACTGGCTGTGACACTTTGAAATTTTTCGCCACAGCAGCGCTCCATTAACAGTGAATGGAAAGCTTCCGGAGCCCATAACTCCCCAACCAGACCTCGGAGGCACTTGGAAACGGGCTCCGCCCCACACTCCGCCGCGCTGAACACGCTGGACGTGTCCCCGAGTCTCTACGACCTTCCCTCGCCCGAGATACGGACTTTCCAATGACGTCTCCAAGGCGGTAACTTCTGAACCGGAAGTCCCACGACTTGACACCGACCACCAAGGGAGAGGGCGATGCCTGAAAATGGGGGGTAGACACCGCTTCCATCGCTCTAGCACGCTCACGGACAAAAGTTATTTCACCTTCAAAAGGATCACCACCTGGTGATCGTGGTTAAAACCACACTTAACCTATAAAAACCCTAAGCCGTGATGGACACTGGGGGAAAAAAAATCAAAATACAGACCTGCTGGCCAATCCACCAGAATGGCCCTGAAAGTGCTCCCAGGCCACTTTCTGAAAGGGTACCATACCAAGGAGCTGACACTTGAAAATTTTTCGGCAGGGGATCGCCTCCGAGTTAATAATGAATTGGAGGGGGGGGGGTGGGGGGGGTCGCTTCAGACGGCCCATAACTCCAACCCAGTCCTCGAGGCTTGGAAACGGGCTCCGCCACACAATTCGACCGCGCTGAACCGCTGGACGTGCCCCGAGTCTCTACACTTTTCCCTCGCCGAGATACGGACTTTTCAAATTCTGCGAAAGATTCGGCGTGCACGTTTCAACCACAATCCACCCACTTCAACCGGCAACAAATGGAAAGCCCATAGCGTGGCATGGGGGTATAGACACTGGTTTCAAGTCTCTAGGATGTTCCCATCCAGAGTTATTCCATCTCAAAATTTCCTGGCAGGGGGTGCCACGACCCTATAAACCTGTATACCTTGTTTTACATACTTTAAAATTAATACAAACGTTAATAATAAATATGGACATATATTGATTTGGTTAAAAACATAACATAACTTATATACCTTTACGCAAATTTAACAACAAACATATACCTACCTGATTGAGAAATTCAATACTTACCTGACAAACCTATTTGATCTGAGAAACCACTAAAACCAAATTCTAAAATTCAACTTGAAAACAAAATTAAATTCAACAAAAAAAAGGGGAGGGTATAAATAGAGAGGCAGGGAGCTCTTGTCACTTTTCGTTTGGACTTCGACAGAGCAGCATCTCCATTCAGCTCCTGACCCATCGACAGCTTTTTTGTGTGCATACTTGAAGAAGACCAATCCATTTTGACAGTTGAACTGTACACATGCAAGACAGATGGCTCGTGAAAACTACCTTCTTGATGTTGGTTTTTTAAATATAAAGAATTTATGGGATGCATTCAAAACTCATGCAAACATTCATGACTTCTTGCATGAAAATTTAAGCCTGGCCTTACATCCCACAACAGTTCCTGACCCAATGTCTTTTCTAGATTTCTCTTTTGATATTGATGGTCTTGTTGTGGAATTTGAGAAAATCCAGGGGCTTCAGGGTGGGCTGCACTACCTCCTTCTGCCAAAGCTTCGGACTCAGTCATTGTCCCCCCATTACCACTTGATCAAAAAACATGTGGACCTCACTGCATTCTCTGCAGATGGCATGGCTGCGCTGAGAAATGCAGTGGGCCACACACTCGGATATGTTGATGGTGGCTATCATCTCACAATGACAGTGATCCCTGCAAGCAAGTCAAAACCGGACACAAGGTTGCTCAGAAAGGAGCTATACATCCCTATGGCAACTGAATTACTGAATGAGGTGGTGGAGAATTTCAAGGAGTTGCTTCGTGCCATCCCAGACAGTGACAAATCCCGCCCAAGTATTAAAAAACAAACCACTGCAGACACGTCCAGATTCCACATTTTGAGGAGGGACCACACATTCATCTTGTCCTTATTGGACCAGGCAGTGGAGAAAGCCAACTCCTGCCCATTCATGAATGTGGTGCTTTTCATCAACCAGTTTGGCCAGAAGGACATTGAAGAGCTGGATCTGACTGACATTCTTGACCCATCGGCTGTCAGGTCAGTGTCTGTCCACATAGCCTGCAATATTGCAGCAAAAGAACCTCACACACACATCCTGTTCTCAAGATTTGGCCTTGAAGAGCTTGTTGGCTTGAATGGCACGCTCTTCAGCACACTGGGGATCCATGAGGCAACCAACTTCCAGAGCAATCTGGACCACAGAGGCATGGATGTGAGCAAGGACTTGCTGAATGTGCTTGCACCACATGGCAAACTCACGTTTTTGCAGCTCTATGTGGACTCACCACATGCTTACATAAACATGCCCTTCAAGCATCCTGTGAGTGGTGCGATAGTGACATGTGGGTTGTCTCACCCTAACTTCAACAGTTCTCTGTTCTTGCGGGCAGAAAACTACCTAAGGAACATGAGCGACCTCGCTGACAGGATGGTGGGTCAGCTGCAGTGCCGATTGGAGCAGGTGGTGCGTTTCGAGGATGCAGTGCCAGGCATCCTCCAACCGTCTGAGCACTTCAGTCTCTCCGCACTTACCTGCCTCCTGGAGGAACATGCACTCCTTTTACCTTTCCAGGACACTGCAACCTTCAATCTGGGTTCATTGATGAGGGATGTCCTGCGGCACATGGTGGACGACCTTAAGCAAATATTTGTGGACAACATAGGAGTGGCACGCTTCGACGCCACATGGAGGGCATTCCAGTATGAACTTGCCCTTGAGGAGGTGTTCTACGGCCGTCCTCTGTCACCACTGGACTTCACACTCAGTGTGTCTCTGGGTACAAGTACAGTGAGTGACAAGAGCCTCACGAAACAGCGAGGCTTTATTGGACTGGCACCTCACTCAAGGGCAACCTCAGAGGAAACGCCACCCCCACTCCACCACTGGACGAGACAACCCCTCCAGGTGATGCGCATTGAGCGTCTTTTTCCTTTCTGTCAGACGCTAGAGGCAGGAGAAGCAGTTACTGGAGCTGCGCTTATTAGAGTTCTTTTGGGGGACCTCTTCAAGCGCAACACAGAAATCCCCATGAACGCTCTGATGTCCACACATCCACCTGGCAGACTCATTGGTGCCTGGCCTCTCGACACCCTGTGCGAGGACCTTTCTGTCAAGGACTGTTTCCCCACACCAAACACATTTGCCAGGGCTCGGCTTTTGGTGAAGAAGGTTGGGAAAGATGTAAAGGACTGCCTTATACAAGGCTTCCTTGACCTCAAGCTGAACTTCTTCCCAGCATTCAAATTCAGGGATGTCAGAGGAACAAAGAGGGTTTATTGGAACTTCAATGACTACGTGCAAATCCACCAAAGTTCAAGCAAACCCTTCCCCATTTCTTTGGTGGCCCAAATGACGATGCAGGTGTGTGTGGAGGTGGAGAGGCGGTCACTGATGTACTCCAGGAACCTGGAGAAATACAGGGACCATGGAATGCCATGGATGGAGAAGGTCCTCGCACGGCTTCCACCAAAATTCAAGACTCTTCCGAATATTCAACTTGCAACTGTGACCTTCCTTTCATGCATCGGGTTCGTGATGAATGGAGATTTTGTAGACTTCAACCATCTGAGGGACCTGCTGCAAGAAATGAGCAAGGTTATCTCACAGGCTGAAATGCAGAAAATGCAGATTCTGTCAAAGTTCACCCTGCCAAAGGTTTACAATGTTGTGATATGGAAGCTGCATGAGGACATTCCCCACCGTGTTCTGATACCACCTCACAGAGTTCTCCCACGCACACCACAGCCAACATGGGAGGAAAGAGAAGAGCACATTCAGCCTGATGAGGATGTTCAGGATGTTGAGCTACAGGATGATTTGAGGCCAATGGAGAGGTCACAAGCCATATACCTACCTGCAAAAACATCCAAACATTGGTCACCTCAGGAGCTGTCATTCCTCCCAAGTGGTGATCAAATACACATCAGAACTGCATACAATGAATACACACAGAAATGCAAGGAACACAAAATTCCAATAAGAACATACCAAGCTTTCCGCAGTAAAGTGCGAAAGTCAAAAACCCAACACTAAAAATAAAAAAAGGAGGGAGTGTGTTACTATAAGTAGACTGATAGTAGTTTAGAGAGGTGGAGTGTAAGGTTAGAATTGTTCATTGTTTAATAATAGTACTATAGTAGTAGATTGTTCACTTAGGTAGATTGTTAAATATGTTACTTAGTTAGGCTGTTCATTGTTCATTGTTCATAAAAAAAGGAGTGTGATACCATGTGTGTGTGTGTGTGTGTGTGTATTAGAATTAGATTAGAAGTAAGGTAGATTGTTAGGTTAGGATTGTTCATTGTTCAATAACAGTAGATTGTTCAGTAAGGTAAAGTGTAAGGTTAGAATTGTTCATTGTTTAATAATAGTAGTATAGTACTAGATTGTTCACTTAGGTAGATTGTTAAATATGTTACTTAGTTA